AGGAAAGGCGCCTGCTCGGTATCATGATCAGAGGCGCTTGCTTCCATTTTTCGAAGCTGCGCTCGTAGATCGTCCTTCCGAATGCAAACTGAACACTCACAAAAAGCACATTCAATACTGAACATATAGTTTCTTTTTACATTCAACCGGCTGACGGGCGGACCGCCCAACCAATGAGCCAACGGCCAACCGCCACCAGAGGTTGATCATCGGTTGGTCGTTAACGGACTGTTGATGGTCGGTGACACTAGCAGTGCATATTTTCCAGTGGAAAGTCCATGGCTCACATTAGCAGTAGATAGCAGTTGCAATTCTGAGAAGAAGATACAACAGGAATCAACAGTACACACATAGCCATAGCTCAAACAACAAACCTCTGGGCCAAGAGGTTTTGGAATATGTTTGTTCTTTCAACAGGTGGGATCGGTGATGTCGGTGATTTGGGATGGTCTCCGAGTTCTTTCGCCCCATCGCAGGACCGTCTTTCTTTCGAGGTCGTACGAGCCTCCCCTACAACCTACGAGCTCCAGTGGATCGAAAGAAAGCCGCAGAAATCGACGTTCACCGCCTGAGCTGACTCATGCTCAGAAGCGACTGCTTCCATCTTTTGAAGCTGAGCTTGAAGGTCTTCCTCACCAAAAGCACGTGGCCGGTCAGAATTGCTGGATACTTCACCTCAACTTAAACATGCTTACGGTTAAGGAGGTTTAATCCATAAGCCGAAACAGAGTATGGCCCAATTGGTGTCACATCAAGTGGTAAGCAATCTAGAATGTGGAGGAACTCCATACTTCACCACCTCGCAGAGTCAAGAAAGTTTGCTCTAAAACTCCATACATATTGAAGACATTTGAAGACAATGTGCAACTGATCCACCACCCAGCCAACAATCGAATGGCAGATCATGTTTTTGTTTGAACGAACCACCAACCGGTCAACAGCAAACAACATTCTCTTCTAGAATGGGACTGGCTTGGCCGCAGCCACCCAAATCCATCCCTCCAAAAGCCGAAACAATGACGAAAAGCGTGACGGATGGGAGGCAAATCCATTGGATTTACTGTAACAGTTCTCCCGTGTTCCTTTGGTCTTCGAAGTCTCATATACAAGTTTCCTGACCCCATAGAGAAAAAACAACCAACACTGCACATGGCTGCCTTGAAGTTGAACAACCATGTTGATGTAGACAAAAATAATTTAAGATCATGTGACATGTGCCAATATGTGCCAATCCGGCCAATCCTCTGGCAAAATTGAAGGATGATCTACTCTGCACAGCCCAGTGGGCATTTCCATCGGTTTCCCTCTTCTCCTGCTTGGCCTCCGCCTCTGCACTTTGAGCCTGCCACGGGAAACGCCAAACGCCGAACACGCACGTGAACTGGCTGACGCGAACTGGGCGGTGGTAACATGGCTCATGAAAATATGGTGGTAACTCCAGCAAGTGGTCCCCAACGGGGTATATAGAAGCCGTTACTTGCGCAGTTTAATGATCGTTAAATAGCGATGGCCGGCGATGGCATGGTGAAAAAACAGAAGCCCGACGCACACGACGTGTGGCCGTTTCAACCGGTAATATGAGATCGATGGCGCCGCGATCCATCACTTCGCTGAAACCCAGCCGACAGCGGATGGCGCCTCATTTCCGCACACACAATTCCCCTCAAATCCGCACACAGACTTTTTTATGTATTTACCTCAAATGCGCACACATGATTCCCCTCAAATCCGCACACATCGATTACATTCCTCTTTAAACAGCCCATGTTACCCCAAACTCAAATGCGCACACATGATTCGCCTCATTTGCGCACACACCAATTCAGTCATGATGATCTCTTTTTGCTCATTGCTTCGTTTGATTGATGATGTGTTAATAACGTCCCTCTGGACATTCATCTACATGATGATCTCTTTTTGCTCATTGCTTCCACAGGTTCACGTCATGTAAAATGAAACAACAATGTTCAGATTGTGACACAAGCTGGTCCAGTTCCATTCATTCATTCATTCATTCATTCATTCATTTTTCAGCCGTGTAAGCCGCGTGTACAAACGAGGGAGCCGCGTGTAAAAACGAGTTTCGCGTGTAGAAACGAGATCAATTCTCCGCGTGTATATTCGAGGGAAATTCCGCGTGTAGAAACGAGGCACCGCCCGCCGACAGCTCACCTTCCCCAAACAAAACGACCTGAATCTCTCTGCATTCCACGGATCCACTTTGGTCCACTTTGATCCGCCTTTCACGAAAACAAAAGGCCACGACTCTCCATCCTTCTCCCACACCTCCCCCACTGGCAGGCCTCGCCTGCTCCGCCGCCCTGGCCGAACGGAGCTCTTCCACTTCGCGGCGGAGCTCCTGCGTTCCGCGGCCGAACTCGGCCGAACTCCGCTTGCGGCACGCGGGCGCGAGAGCGGTGATGGACGATGGACGGACTTCCGCATGTGGTGGGCTTTTTCGTCGTGGCAAGCCCTATGGATCCACTGCCACCTTCTCAGAAGGTATGACTGGGCCCTCCTGGCGCCTACTTCAGTCTCCCTGCTCACCTTCTCAGGTTCGGTATGTGGATCCACAGGGAGGGAAGAGTGTTTACAGAAAATGCAGAAAAACCTGAAGGAGAAGTCACGGACAAGTCTCCCAAATGAGTGCTTTTGGGCGACTTAAGAGTGGCAGGTGGTGACCTGTTATGACATAAATAATTCATAATATATATATATATAATATATATATATATATTCCAGGTGCATCATCATAGCTAGCTTGTCGGCAAGGAACAATGGAACTGCTGAATATGGGGACGAACACACCAAACAGCACGAGCTGCACAACTCACGATTCCTTCCACCATATAGTTTCTTTGTCTCAATGTGGGCAAACCACAAAGTTGACCTTTCCAAGCATACAGGTCACTCTATACTGGTACATCTTCATGTCCAGTTCCCGATCTGACATGTGATTCCAATCCTCCTGTCGCACCATTTTTTGATTCCCGCACCCTGGCAGAACCTCGGAGCAGTGAAAAAGATCTTGAAATCTTGAAACGTTCTTCCACTCCATCAAGGATTGGATATCTTCTGGAATGATCCGGACGGGGTCAAGTCAGAATTCCGACCAAACCTTGGGTTTTTCTCCAATCCACTTGAAACAAGGAGCGAGTACGGTAAAAAAACTCACCCCGCAAAAGATTAACAATATAAATCAATCAACACCACACATCCCGCGCATCCCGGCTGGGACGCATCCATCCGCGCAAGCGATGTTAAAGTGGCAGGTTGGAGTGTTTGAGTAGTACTGATGGACCAGGCTTGGATTTTCACCAAGATCCTGGATCTCGGCCTCATTTTTTACCCTACAGGTCCAATGACCCAGTAAAACCTTGGTTTTTACCTCGTTGTGTAGTTGTAGTTTGTATGGACAACTTTAGGTAAACATTGTAAAATGATGTCTTTGACCTGTAGGGATATTCTGCGTATTTGCTTGAAACAAGGAGCTTAGCGCAAAAAAAAACACATCTCAAACACCCGCGGCCGCAAGCTCCGCAAGCTCCGCCGGCGTGGGGGAAGTGTGGGACCTCACCATGGCCCCGACGCCTTGAATGATTTGAGGCCCATCCACTTGACCAAAAGATCAACCAATGGCTAATGGGTCCATGAAGAATGACGTCTGCAATGTAATATAGACATTACATATGATGTATTATAATGTATTATATAGTATAGTATTATGTATATGTATAATAGGTTGCCAATATACCTTCAATTTGACATGATTCGACCCACAGTCTACCGCAGTAAAACTGCGTAAGGCGATGTCCAAACGCCGGAGTGTTTCACTCTGCGCATGAAACATACGGCTGTGTCACTGTGTCTGATCCGACACACCTGTCACGTCCCATCGGCCGAGGCAGGAGATACTGCCAGAAATGAGACGTCCAAAGAGCTCAAAAACAGGGACACATCCCACGATTTAAGCATGTTTAAGCGCATGAAAGCACAAACGGACTCACAAACTAAGTCAGGTACTGTCAGGACTTGAACATAGAACCCACCCTCACAAAGCCCTTTCTTTGGAGTTCCAACCGCGAGGCGTCATTGCTGGTCGAGGTCGGTGTAGCGATCCGCTGAGATCTCAGCCAGTCCGCTGTGCCTGAGGGCATTTCGGTGCCGTGATCTTCTGAAACAAATGCTACTAGGAACAAGTGCATCGCTACTAGGAGCAAGGGCCTTACCAGTAGTATAACAAGAAGCTATTAGAAACAATAATTAGAATAACCGAGGTTCTGAGGGCAAAAGCACCTGGACTCCGCCTCGTGTCTGTCTCGATGTCTCGTTCTTTACATGTCCGCTTGGGGTGTGTCCACGGTCCAAAAAAAGGAAACGACAGATCCAAACGGTCATCACTTGCCGAAGCTGGTTTTTTTCAGGTTTGGGGACACCGGCAAAGCGGGTCCAGCGTGGGGTGTGTGGCTCCCCCAAATTGGACTATCAGAATTGAATCCCAGGTTCCCCCATCTTCACAAGGGGTGTCCGGCTTTCCAGTCTTCGATCAGCTACCTCTGAAATTGCGTCTCGGACATCAGCGATCCATGTCTGAGCTAAGCTGCATTACACGTGTTCCATCCAGGACCATTGCTTGCTGGCCTCGTTTGTTGATCGACTCAGTTGCCAGGGCCGAAAGAGGTGAAATTGACACGAGCTGAGCTGACCGACGCTTCATCGTTTCTTCGGCCCGGACGACTTTCACCCTGGCCCCCTTGTCCCTCTATACAAACAAGCGGGCTGTGGTTTCAGCCTCTCTCTGCCGTTTGACAGCAAAACACATACTACAAGATACTACAAGTCCTTGAGTTGGCACAGGTGGTGGATGACACGAGGATCAATCCATCCAGGGGTTCAAGATCTGTCCAAACTTCGATCTGATCCAAACGACCTGCTGCAGTGCTGGCCATGTGGAACTTCATGCATCCCCCACAAAGGCCCATCACAAGAGGTCGCAAGCATGGTGGCGACGTGGCGGTTTGGTCCGCATGACATGGTGCGACCAAGAGGCCGATGGGGAGCTCTTGATTGTTTGCGCCCACCGGCTTCACAGACCTAAGCCGATCCAACACGCGGCGCCGCCGAACGTGTTGGTTAAAAGGCAGGCGAACGAAACTCTTTGCGGGTACGGTATATATATATATATATTTATACTATATATATTGACTTGGACATACTTGGACATTCAAGGGGTGTCCAATGGAGATGCCTAAGTAGTGTAGTGTAGGGGCGATAGGTAAGATAAAAACAACAGATTGGCTTAGGTTTCGCAACAGGAACGATTTCCACAGCATAAGTATCATCATATTATATTAAAGTGTATCAATGCACTATATAAAGATTATAAACCCACCTTCACTATCTAACCAACGAAACTCTTGAACAGGACAAGGTCCAATTCCACAAGCCCCGTATAGTCGTTGTTTGAGCCACACAGCCACACCTACTGCCACACCTCAATAGCCAAAAGTCAAACGAGATACTCTTCCACCTCTTCCAAAGCCATCATCTCCTGGACCAGCACGCTGGCCGTGCGTCGTGGCCGTACTCCATGGCCGTCATACACGGCGCGGCTTCGAGGCACGGGCAAGGGTGAGCAGGATTCGCTGGCGCTGTCGTCGTCTTCAGGGAAGGGCGAGACGTCAATCACGCCTGGAACCGAAAACGGTTCTTGCTTGGAAAACCATTTCCCGTCACCAGCTGTTTCGTGTCGTTTCGTGGTTTCGTCACTGCGCATGTTGGACAGGTGGTTTCATAAACGTTGCCCGTCAGGCCACTTGCTGGACGGCAAAGATCCTGCAGTACGTATACTATGTTTACAGCACGTTCTGCATGCTGTGACGGTCGGTTTCTCCCCAGATGCGTCTTGCTGCCCAAACGAGTTCCAAACTGCCCGACCGGTCAAAAGCGGATTGGTTGGACCAGAGACCCCTCACCATTCGGGTCCGATCCCTCCAGAGGATTCGGGTCCAGGAACGTCTGAGTGGCGAGATTTCTCCGTCCCAAAGAAGGCATGTGTGCCATTCGCTGGCAGGAATCCCCATGTGTCGACGGACTCAGACTCTGGTCATCCAACCAGTCGGGCGCCCTTTCTCGTCGGGGGGGTCGGTCGCCTGGATTCGGAGCTCCTGTGGCCTCCGGTGTCGTTTCCACCTTTTACATGTTTAAATGTTTCGGAGGCCGTTTCCCCCCCAACCCGCGCCTTCGACCAGGGGCTTCAGAGGCACTGAGAGAAGGAATGCGCCGATCGGCATGGCGGTGTTCAAAGTGTCCAAAGAAAGCTCCGCACACCGCGAAAATCGGGTCTCGATGCGAAGCCTTTCAGCCCGAATGGATATCCAAGGATGAACAATGAACACCATGGCGAAGCCAAGTAGCTGGCAAAGGGTGAGTCTGGCACTAGGCAATTTTGGGGGGTTGGCGTCCAATTCTTTTTCAAACCTCTGGGGTTGTTCTTTGAGACGCATAAGCTGGGAGGTTTTTGCAAGAGTGACCAGTCCACCTATAACACGATTCCCCAAACACTCCATGTATGGCATCATAAATAACTACATTGGGATGTTTTCAGGGATCAACTACTATATATATCAACTACTACAATAATACCTACATAAATAACTACTATATAAGCAAATTGGATCCTCCAGTTGTTTGAGGGGGGGGCCCGTCGTTTGCTGTCTGGGTTCTCATCCCTGCCGGATCTACACCGCCTCTCCTCGGCGGCTTTCTCGGCTGCCTGACTTGCCTGTGCTCGGCCTCAGGCGAAGGTTCACAACCGATTTGTCAGTTTGCTCGTATTCTAGGGTGGTCCAAATTTGCAAATTTATAGGATCCTGTCGTTGTGTTGTTTCTTTTTCTATGCGATTTGATTGGCTCAGCGAACGCATTGCCTCATTTGAGAAAATGCCCTTCTTCGCAAGCAACCGCACGCACTCCCCAAATCTCACTATTCGATTAAATAGGAACCACTGGTTTCAAGGTCTAGCTGTCTAGTTTCTGTTGTTGTGGGTTTAGTAGGTACCTTCCCCAGCTGATGCACAAACAAATCATAAAATGCTATATGCAACACCAAGCATTAACAACTACACCGCACAAAGTAAATCAACATATCATCCCCCCCCAGTATCCCCCAGTTGACCTGGTTTTGAGGTCTAACAGTGAAGATTAGGATTATGATGAGCTGAATGAAGCTTGGCATTGGAAAATTGAAAATAACAAAAGTAGAAGGAAAGATGTAAAGAGTAGTAATAAGATGTAAAAAGTAGGATCAAAATTAGGACACAAATGGAAACTTGAGAGAGGAGGGGGTGAACGAAAGGTAGCAGGCAATCACAAGTAACCCTGGTAGAAGTCCATGACGGCGTGAACCGGCGCAGGGGGGATTTGAATCAACTCTTACAGGACCAAATTCAATGCACAATCCCAACTCCTGATTGTAATACATTTTTGCTAAAGCAAGGAGAACTCAGGTAGCTCAAGCTACCTTTCGTGAATAGTGCAAACGTTAGGAAAACAAATTATATATGACACACAATTCTAGAAAACCCGAAACAAGCAGCCAGGGAAGAAGAAACACCAGAAGCAAGGATACCGCAATAAGGATCAATATGGATCAATACCGCAATCTGAAGAGGTAAGGCGAACTAAACGGGGTCGGGGTGGAGGCGGCAGGGGGTGGTCAGCCTATGGTTTTCCTATTTTTTTCAATCTGGTGTCCTATGTGTGTCCTATCGTATTCCTATGGTTTTCCTGTTGTTTTTTCCCTAATTTGTTCGAAGTTGCCAGTTTTTGCAGTTTTTGGAAAGGCGAGTCAGACCGGGTCCAGACCCCGAATGCAATCCCCGGGGGGGGGGGGGGCCCAGACCCGGCCTGGACCTTTAGACCCCGGCCTCTCGCGGCCGACAAAACCCGCACCCCCCACCGAATTGCACCAGGACCCAGCTCCTGAGCTCTTTGTTCATGGTTGGGTTTCCTTGGTGTTCCTTTCTTGCTGCTTCTGTTGTTTCATCCAGGTTGTATTGTTCCTTTCTGCTTCGATTCGGATTCCCTTGTTTTCCCTATTGTTTCCTATTTTTGATGCTATGGCCTATGGCGATGTTTTTCCTATTTTGGATGCTATGTGGTTCCTAAGTTGATCACACCCACCGGATGCTTAACTTCCTCATAATAAGATTAGGACTGGTAGGACCTCTTAGGACTGGCGGTGAGTTATATAAGTTGAGCTTGGATCTCAAGGTGGTCATCACCCAGAGGTGTGCACACCATGTTCATAAGTTCCACTGAAACCGTAGTACAGAATATGGTTTTCCTCTTTTACAGGGTAGTAAAGCTGGCAATGTAAATCACACTGCCCTGCAGAAACCTCCCAGGAAGGTCGCCAAAAACAATCCCTGGATGAATCTCACCAGACTTGTCCTCTTCTTTCGAACTTGGTCATCGCGGTCATTTTCCCACGGGAAGTTTTCAGAGTACTGTTCGGTCAAAAAAAAGAAGGAACATGTTCGGTGAATGATTCCCGGAAACCAAGAAGAAGTCGGGTCCTCCAGAAGTCGGGGGCACTGCACTGCTTGCCTAGCAGAAACAGAGATCAGCGTATATAAATGGCCTCAAGGAAGTCGGAGGCCTTGTTCAAGAACATGTGGCAGGCCTGAAATGTTTCATGTTCTACCGAAATCTGATTGCTGTACTTGTTGACCTTGATCCCGGATTTCGCGTGAACTGTAGCCAAGAGGCTCTCTTCCGTCTTCGCCTGTGTAAGAATGAACATGTGACGAAAACTCGTGGAAGTGAAGATGGGCAGAAATGATAATATGAAGTGATCCAAAAGGGTCGTGGAAGTGTTCTCGCACGAAGCCTGGGCCACTGGTCCGCTTGTTGCAGGATCCACTTTTGCATGTTTGAAACCTGGGAAACACTCCCTGCCCAACACCAGCTCCCGAAGTGCCAGATAACAGGCCCCTGGACATGGTTTGATAGCAATCAGATTAATGAGGTGACTGGATGGAAGGAATAGATTCATAGGAGCATTCATGCAAACGATCCTACCTACGGGGTCTCCTTGAGATAAGACTCATCATTGAAGTGACATGGAGCTTCTTCAGAAAAATTGCTTTACTCCGAGTGATCCCCACTGTGACATGTCAACATTTTCCATGCTATGGTGAGGAGCATGTTGCCATGGTCAAGCGTGGGCTTTGTGGCGTTCGATTTTGCATGTGGCTGTGTGATTGTGATTTTGTGTTTGTGGTCGTGTTCGTGGTTGTGTGTTTGCGGTTGTGTTTTTGTGTTTGTGTGGTTGTGTTTGTGTGTGTGGTTGTGTTTGTGTTGTGTGTTTGTGGTTGTGTGCTTGTGATTGTGATATCGTAGTTGTGTGTGTGTGCTTGTGTGCTTGTGATTGTGGTTGTGGTTGTGTGTTTGTGGCTGCGTGCTAGTGATTGTGTGCTTGTGGTTGCGTGTTTGTGGTTGTGCGCTTGTGGTTGTGTGCTTGTGGTTGTGCGATTGTGGCTGTGGCTGTGTGCTTGTGATTGTGTTTGTGGTGGCGTGTTCGTGGCTGTGTGTGTTGTGGCTTTGTGTTTGTGACTGTGGTGATTGTGTGCGGTTGTGCATTTGTGGTTGTATGTTGTTAGTTGCCAACTGCGCTCTGGCACTTGCCGTTGAGGTCCAGTAGTGCCCACTGCGATCTGGCACTTGTCATTGAAGTCGGATAGTGCCCACTGCGATCTGGCGCTTGTCGTTGAGGTCCGGTAGTGCCCACTGCGATCTGCCACTTGCTCCAACTTGCTGGCGAGGAGGAGGGGGAGGAGAAGAGGAGAGGAGAAGAAGAGAAGAGCGCTCATAAAATCTTAGAACCCTAACCTGGCAGGTGGGGAGAACCATGATATAGGGAAACATCAACATCACCCGAAGCAAGACTCATCAAACCATCAAGCAAGGCCCGGCCGCTCCAACTCCCGGCATCACGTGGAACCCGAGACGTGCAGACCCCGCGTCACAGCGGGGCTCGGTCCTGCAGTTGCGCTCGGAGCTCCTCCACGCAAGCTCGGATGGCTTTGGCCTCCTGGAGCAGAGAAGCAGCTGAGAAGCGAAATGGACGAGACTTGGAGAGAAAGATCTGGAAGCGCTGGGAAAACCATAGAAAACCATGTCAGGACTGAATATTGTATGATATTGTCCTAGAGTTCTTTGCCGAGAAATAACACCTTTTAGATAAGGTATCTCAAAGTCTCCCACAGTCCCCCAGCACACAAGTGGTTGTCCCATGTTGCGCCCTTCACTTTCCTGCGTTACAGCAGCTGACCATGCCATTTTTGACCACTGACCATGCCATTCCATCTTCCTTCTTGGTCCACTGAGTCTGTATTTCTTCCATCTTCCAACCCCGCCACTTGGAATCCCTCAACTCTCGCAGTCCTCCGCCCGATGAGCTTCCGCCACTTGCACACGCCAGCGCTCGACCTGGCCAAGGCGGGTATGGAAGCTGTGGGCCGCCCCGAGCGCCGAATTGAAGCGATCCAGCCAATGGGGTAGTCGAATCCCCTATCCTATCAGTATAGAAAAACCACTCGACAGATCCTAAACTGCATGCAGGTCAAGATGGAATCTCTGTTTGGTGCATGAAATTGTGTTTCGGAAAGGGAGTATTGACCTGTAACCTCTGCGATATAGGTTGAAACGTGTCTAGTAAGGATTTTAAGCAAGCTCTTGTCCATCCCCACTGACAAGCTGTTGCTAGTCGCTACACTGAAAATCTGTCAGTAAAGAAAAATGGGAGTCTCGGAGCTGCCACACCTTTGGTGTTGAACCATCGCGTTTGCTCCCGCTTCTTCCGGCTGGACACCGGCGCCAAGACACCCGTTGACCGGTCCACGAACCGGTCGTTAGGAACCCTCCAAGGATCCACGAGTTTCGCCCGGCCCCACGGGTCTTCGACCGGGGGAAGGGTGGGGATGCCCCTGCTATCGTTTTCGAAGGAACCATCGTCTTGAGTCTATAAACTGGATGGTTAAGCTGACGTCCCAGGATGAAAGCAGAGAAGCAAGCAGGGTTCAAGGCATGGGAAGAGAACCAAGATCGGCCACCATGCTCGCCCCGAACCTCCTTCTGAGCAGCTGCCTGTGCCAAGAAACTGAGCGGACGATCTACCAGGAACCTTCGAATAAAAACGTCAAAACGTTGAAAAGCCATCAACAAAGCCATGAGTGGTACTGCTCGTGTCGATGGAAAAGCCAACCAAACCGCTGCAAGACCCAAAGGATAGGGCTTGCATTATGTCTGTTAACTGGATCCGGTGGTGCAGGATGGACTGTCGAAAAGCACACTGTAATTACAGTGATCATAGATTCTGATTCTGCGAGAAGGTAATTAAGGATGAAGCTCTCATCCAAAATTCAGGATTGAGCACAAATCTGACTGTACCCTTGAGCGCGAAGCGGAACTTAAGGAAACCGCATGTGAATAGCCACCCTACCTACTACTCTTCTGAAAAGAGAAAGAACTAAAAACGCAGTCCGACAGTGAAGCAATCCTCTCATTGTCCCTATAGGACTCCAACAACCTCCATTTCGAAGATGGTTGGAGTTGGTTTGGGGGGGGGGCCAACCACCGAACCTGAGGATATGGGCCAGGAGCCCTAGGCTGTGTTCCTCCTTGCGGCCTCCCCCAACTCGAAAACCGTGCGAGAAGCCCCCGCGGCGTCGGACGCTCGAAGGAGCCAGCGCGCGCTGGACCTCACGCTGTTCCAGCTGCTCTTGAAGCGACTTGGCCTGATCCTGGGGCAGACAGACCACAGAATCATGGGAGTATCGAGCAGTATCAACATGTTGCTGGGTTCCAAGATGTTCCAATTTCAGTTTCATGCCGCACACGCAAGGTATTATGCTGACATGTGTTTTAGATTGCTACTGTACCTTCCTAAGGAGGAAGACACTGGGACCATCCAAAGGGCCAGCAATTACTTGTGGTGGATCTCCATTCGATACTCCTTGGTTCCGCCATGCCCTGCTCAATGGCTTGCTTGTCCCTGAAAGTCAGTCAAAGGAAAGCGTGTTTTGCGGCCCTTGTACCCGGATGTCTTCATAATCCAAACACTCCATGATAGATACATGTGTTTACCAATCAGTTGGGGTGGTTGACCGATCAGGGTCAATGTATTCCGAGTCCTACAAACTCTGAACCCAACAAGTCCTGCTTGAATTGATCAACCCGTAGGTTCATGGCATACAACACATTGCAAATCACAGGACTGGACGACTAGAGGTAGATCCAAAATGTACTCCAGTGAGCGCAATGTTTCTGCATGTTTCTGCGTCTTCAACCAAGGCTGCGAAAGAAGCAAAGCGAACGGCAAAGCCAAATGGGATCATTTCTATGACCAAGATGGACCATGAATTAAACGAGGCACAAGGCTGTCACCTCACAAGGCTGTCACCTGCTGTCACCTACTACCCAGGCCTCAAACAGAATCGACGAAAATGAGGTAAACCTCCCGGTATCAAGCTATTTCTGTTCTACGGTTCAGAGATTGGCATCTTTGCGGAACCGCTGCCCAATGGTGTTTCCGATTCACCAGGTGTTCGATCCATGAACCACACCCAATGGTTTTCCATATCCACGCTGCTGGATGTGCCCTGCCTCTGCAGCTGTCAGCTTGGCTTGGAGGACTGTCGCCTTTTGGGCATTGGCTCGGAGCTCATCGACACAAGCTCGGATGGCTTGGGCCTCCTGGGGAGAAGCAGCGCTTGACCAAAGCCGAAAGGAGGGAGTCTTGGGACATGGGTGGTGTCTTTTTCACGATATATTTACATATATTATCATATATTTACTATACCAGCACCCTCCAACAGGTCACCACCTGAAGGTCTCGAAAAGCAGGGTGCTGGTACGTGGATTTGCCGTTTTGTTTGCTGCCGCTCTGCCGCTCGATGATTGAAAAGGAGAGAACACCTCTAAGGAGAGTCTCACATATTAATGTGCGTTGGAGACTGTCAGAATGTATGTGAACTCATCTACCTCTCTCTTACTCTGAATCACTGGCATGAATGATCATGAATGTGTACACACAATACAATTGGTGAGTCGGAGTGTAGATCTCGGTGGTCGCCGTATCATTAAAAAACCCGACACTTCCTTCGTGTGCTTCACTGAGTTTGTACAAATGCCAGCTGTGCATAAATGGGGTTGCTTTTCTTTCACCATGACCTTGCACTGGGATGTGTTTTTTAATAGAAACATTGCTTATACATATCAAAGGATCCTTATTTTTCGGATCGAGCGGGTTCTGGCACCTCGGAATCACAGGAGGAGTGGCTAGTGGCACCACGTCCGAGATTTGTGTTTCGTACGGTGGCTGAGGTATTCGTCGCTCCGCACACCTCCCTTTTGGTACTTCCTGGCTCGAGCCGGGCTCCATAGTTCTGATGTTTTCACCAACACCCCAGTAGTCTAGTTAAGTCTTTTGGGAAACCACGACCCACCCACTGGGTCAAGCACCCTTTTTGGGGGGGGAAGAGAACAGGGAACATGAATTCGAACCGCCGAGTGGAAGGCTTCACAAGTTTCACTGCCCTTCGCAGTCCTCCACGCGGTTGGCTTCCGAAGATGACACTTGCTCACGCAAGCGCTCGACCTCGACTGTGGCGTCGCTGCGTTGACCAGAAACCTGTTCCGGTAAGCCACTGGACCAAGTCTCCATTGGAAGGTCCAGGTTGAATATGAAACCTCCAAAATGGGCATGTATTGGACCTAATTACCGGGCCTACCGCACACTAGAGGCCCTTATGAATCAACCTGAAATCCACAGTTATATGGAGGGACTCAATCAAGTCCTCCATGCAGCTGCCGAATCCAACGTTGTATACAACAGACCTTATGGGGTCTCTCTCATGCGTTCATCCATCACCTCAAGCCTGCTCAGTCTGAGTCTATTGGATGCTCTGGGCACTGCGACACTTAGTTCATCCTAGTTTTAACCTCGCCAAGACCAAGACCGCCACACTTCGCAGCCCAGTCACACCTTTTGGGCTTCGGGGTTAGCACCATTCGTTCGCTGCACTGTAGCTGTCGTCGGCGGTCGATTGAAGGCGTGACATCGACTGGCGAAGGAAAGACGCTCTCAACACCAAGGAACGGCATCCTCCAAAGGCATGAGTCTCAATGCGCGTGACAGAGTCTGGGATGGTCAATCTCGCCAATATGTGGCAATTCCGAAAGGCACGATCCCCAATGTGGGTCACTGAGCCCGGGATGGTCAAGCTCTCCAAAGAGCTGCAGTGCGCAAAGGCACCATCCCCAATGTGGGCCACTGAGTTCGGGATGGTCAAGCTCTCCAAAGAGCTGTAATGCGAAAAGGCATGATGCCCGATGAAGGTCACGGAGCTTGGGATGGTCACGCTTCTCAAAGAGTCACAACAATAAAGGGCGCCATTGCCAATGTGGGTCATTGAGTCTGGGAAAATCAACTTTGCCAACATCCCGCAGTCGTGGAAAGCGTTGTCAGCAATTCGAGTTTCATGGCTTGGGAGTTCAACAACGGGCAACACTTCTGGGTCAATCTCACTGCTGCGGCTGTCAATCTCATCTCTGTTAGAGCATCTGACTCTGTTGGGCTTGAAGACGACACTCACAACAGCACCTGCAGTGACCCCTACATCCGCCACCGTCTCATCATTGCCAAGCAAGCGGTGTCCAACAATGATTTTCACCCCAGTAGTTCTGCGAGTATCCTCGTCCAGGTCAGCTGCCCTTCTTTGATCTGCTGCTTTAGCTCTCTACCTGTTGTCTCTGGTGCCACTTCAAGACAAATTGCCTCGCCATTCACCACTAGCGCTGAGACTCTCATCGCCATAATGAGTTTCACTGATCCTGAAGTAGAGTCTATGTCCCGTCCAATTTGCGTTGTCAATCTTGGTGCTACTACTTCTGAGGAATTACCTAAGATGCATAGTCATAGGGCCTAGGGCCTAAGGGCCTAGGCTCAACAAGCTCAACGATGTCTCTGCTTTCACTGCTCCTACCGAGTTTCTCCAAAGTACTATAGTCTTATACTGACAGCCAAATGGATCGAAAACGACTGATCTGGCCGATCCCGCGTGTGATCCAGTAGCATAAAGCATGTGGCACATCCGATCGCGCGATCGGAAAGGGGGTCAATCCACCTGCAAACCTCATTGATCGGCATGTTTGTTGGATGATGCATGTGCCAAATCTCTTTCATGCGAGGGATGGAGTTGCGTTGTGTTTCTGCGTTGTGGAGTCCCGAGGGACCCGGGGGACATGGAGAGTGGATTGAAAGGTTTTGAACCAGCAGCGTTTGACCAGTTTGGTCAATGATGGTCAATGGTGGATTGAATCCTAGGGATCTATATAGACCAGGGATATATTATATACGTTTTTTTGATTCATGTTACTCATGTTACATCATGTCCTACCTCAGGTCGGGCTCCACGTTACCGGATGGAGGCAGGGTTCAATCTATGCCTTTCGCACCGTGATCGACTGTGATGGTTCCACTCTCGGGTCCCGAGCCTCTTTTGCAGCGGCCTGTGCCAAGAAACAGTGCCAAAAAGATGCAAAAGAAGTGCTCAATGTAGATGGCTGATGAATAGAACACCCCAACATTATAGAGATGTTTTTAACGCCATTCTGGGGTACTTTCTGGGATTTTGTTCATCTGACAGTCTACATAAGATCTATACTGAGAGTCTCAAAAATGAGTGCCGTCTACTCAAGCCTCCAAAGAATCGATCGTGTCAGGACCTTCGAAGAGGCCGTCTATCTGAGATCCCAGGATGGGGTCACTTAGTCCCTGAAGTCACTTAGACTTAGACTTAGGTGACTTTGAAGGTCCCGGTCCTGGTGCATTTCAATTGAGATCAAATTGAGATCAATTCTGCACGTTTGCTCACTTCTTACGCTATGTACAGAACCTCACTGGCATGCGATGAGGGTGGAGAGAACGTTGCACTGGTGATACGGTGACCTGGAAGATTCTGGGAGGGGGGTCGGTCTCGTTCCTGGCATTGAAACCACCTGGCCGTGTGGTGTTGAAACACTTTCAATTCTTGCGGTTCGCGAAACACACTGCGTTAGTAGACGCTGAAGTACTCCTGGATCGGGTTGGGAAAGCCCAAGAAGCCTACACCCTCCAGCCCAGACTCCCATAGCAAAGGGCGGCCGATCGTGGTGTTGCAGGAGTTTCCCTGTCCAAAGACGGGTCGTCTGACAGGTCGTCTGACAGGTCGTCTGAGGTTGAGAGGTCGAGTCGAGATCCTTCCAAAGCGGACGCCGACGCCGAGACTCGGCCGGTATCATCACGTCACTACAAGCATATGAACATACGGCTATCCAGAGCCCCAAACCAGGGTAGGTTGACCTTCTAGGTGGTCTATTCAGTTCCATTCCAGGTGGTCCACCAGGGTGTCCGGGTGGTCAAAACCCACGCATCATCTACCGGTGTCAGCGATTGGATGTGGATGGAGGCCTATCCAAAGACATCCCAAAGTGGGCTGTGTGGACCCCTCGGTGGGTCCCCAACTTCGCCGCTTGCTTCGGTGAGAGAACACCGCTCCTCTCGCTGGTCCTGCTCCTGGACCAACCTCGCCTGGTGCCACGGGGCCCTTTGGTGACAACGGGTTTGGTGGGTTGGAGAAGATCGGTGGAAAGGTGAACTCGTGGGCGGGGCAAGTGGGTGGTTGATGGTGGTTAGATTGGTTGATGGTGGCAAGCGGGTAAGAAGCATGCAGCATGCACCAACCACTTGCCGCAACCTTCAAAAGCGGTTCCACGTTCCACATTCAATGCCGAAAAGCACAAATCCCCGAATCTTTTGAATGCGTCACCGCTTAATGTAAGACTCTTCTCCTGATCTCCAGTCTGAGCTCGCACACAAGTTGGGCCGCGCTTAAACACAATGCAACCTCCATGTCACATACTCACTGGAACAAAAGGCACCAACTGGGAAAAAGCAACGTAACATCCAGTGCACGGATATCCTGTCTCCTTGAACCAAGTTGTACACATTCCTAAGGCAACCTTGGATGCGTTGAGCACGTATTTATGTATAATTGAGGGCCGTTTCACTGGCTTGGCGCCAATCTTTTAGACAACCTAAATTCATGGCTGGCTGGGCAACATGAACGGTTTCCACATCGCCAGCCATCGGGTCAAGTCGCTGCTAAAAGTCGCTCGCTCTGGGAGTCCTCACTTCTCTGGGAGTCCCAAAGTCCCAGCGCGGTGGGGGCAGGTTCAAACCCCCGGCAAAAAAACAAAACACACAGTGAAAATATCATATGTTGCGTGTATCCTATTTTCCCCTGAAAGCAAAGCACCCCAATGTTGGTATATATGCCATACATGAAGTGTCTGGGTGTTCGCCACGTCCTTATCTTCTTCTCTTTCCTTGTCATATTCAATTTTCCTTTGTTAGTACCTACCGTACCGTGGACCTATTCATTGTTCTTCTCGTTATTTCTTTGTGCAAGAAGCCACCACCATGCCACGCTCATGCGACCCAACACCCCCGACTCGCGGGGGCCCGGCCTCTGCAGCTTTCAGCTTGCTCTTGAGGTCTGCTGCTTCCTCCTGGCCCGGGGTGTTGGAGCTAGACTGGGTCCACCCAGAAATGGAGAATTTGGATGTCTTGATAGGAAGATCTCCTGGCTGGCTAGCTAGACTGGTCGACGCTCGGAACCTTACCCCCAAAAATCCAACTGGGAGGTTTCATCCCTATGTTAACACACACGCATTTATTGTATCAAGTATGCAGTATCCATCAGGTCCTGTTAGAAGGTGTTGGAGGTATTCATCCACCTTTGGGTCTTTGGGATAATTACCTTCTGTCTTTACAAAATAGAGAGTTTTCCCAGGCCCAGCGACCGGATGGATGCCAAGGGAGATGGATGCCAGGCCCTTCGGTCGCCTTGACAAGTGATGAGATCTTGAAAATAACTTCCATGTCTTGTCAAAAGATGCAGATATCCGTGTTAGTGTCACTGTTCGAGAGATCTTAGACTGATATCCCCCACAAATCAGAAGTCCAGTGAGGAAACGAAGTTCCTCGATGGTCTGGGCACCGTTGTTGTCCAGAGGGACATAGATTGGATTCTTAGGTTTGATCCCTTGCCACAACTTCGATGAATTCTTCTTTAAGACCCGAACATGGCCCAGAAACTCGAACTTCGATGAACTGAAGCAGTTAATGTGGATCATGGAGGTTTGCAGTGGAATGGGCAGGCGAGGAGGTACTACGTAGAACACGCAAGCTCTACTCTACATTGCATTAAATCTTAAGTCTTAAGTGCAAGAACACAGACTTAACCACTATCCTCCACTTCCCAGCCCACCTGAGCTTTCTGAAGCTGCTCTTGCTCCGCCTGAACATGTGCCCAAATGGTCCGGCCCTCTCTTCGATGTTTCTTCATGTGGGCACGTCCCAGCTGACATCTGACACAACAACAACATCATGAGAACAACAACATGAGTGATGGACAGAATCTCTGGGGACTGAAGAACCTCTCCGGGGTGGGCAAGAGGCCCGCCCCCCGGAAGCTCTTTCCGTTCTAAACCAACCAGGAGGGGCCGACCCAAAGCATCGATTCTTTCCAATCCTTACATAGACTCGGACATGTAGATTCATCTATAGACCCTTGATCAATAACCCCGTGCCATACGGCATTGTAAAGCCATTCTGGCATCCGGGGTGGCGTTATTCATGAACAAATCACATGAGACCAGCCAGGTCGCCTTGCTCTGCTCCTTCCTCCCTTGACCCTCCACAGACTCCACCAGATCCGCGGTTCCTTCCGCTCCAACACTGGCTGCGGGCCGGTGTTGGAAAAGATTGGTTAAAAACAAATCATGGCCGGCTGTGGTCATGGACCCTGGTTGACCAGCGTCCCAAGGAACAAACGACTAGACATGGTCAACTAGACATGGGATTAAGGGTATCGGTTTTTGGCAAGTGGTCAATCATAGTTTCAGCGGCATCCAAGTTCTATAACAAAAAAAATATATATTGCGTGTTCCAAGTTTTACCCGTGTCTCCAGCGTTGGCTGGAACCAGATTTTGAGAATCAACTAACTATGTCTCTATCCCGAAGAAGACCTCATAAACCCCTGCAGTTTCTTGTTTGGGATCGGATAGAGACACCGTTGAAGTCAGCTTTGGCAACTCTTCATGAAGCGCAAGGGAAATGCCCTTCCGCACGATCCGCACGATCCGATCCGCACTGCACCGATGATCCTGACTGCCTCCGACGCCTCCGGGTGTTCGGATGTGGAACTGGAACTCTCCTGCGGAACCGCCGGTGACGTCGATAGACGTGCGCAGTGACGTCGATGGACGCTGGGAGCGATGGACGGTGGGGTGGCGGTGACTGACGGAGCGATGGACTGACGTGTCGAAAAGCAAAGAGTTGGATTTCCTGAGCTGTCCACCATGCGCAGATACTGTCACTCCATGTAAGGGTATATATGCTACATTGACCCCTGAAACCACACCAATGTGCATAAATAAATATGGCACACATGGAGCACCTGGGATGGATCCTGATTCAACGCAAGAATGTAAAATGGCTGGCTGCTTCAGAAACTAGGCGGAGATGTTCCTCGTCACAAGCAGTCAGCCCGCTGAATTTAT